CAGAATGTCATTTCATTTTTTTTCTATTTTATACATTTGTTTTCAGCATGCACGAACGGCTCCACGAATACAGACTTCAAACTAGAGTTTTTCCTCACAGTAAAACGTACGAAACATCGGATCAAAACCCTGACAGTTCGAGGACACAATGGGAAGCGCAGCATCAGACTACCATGACTTTTTTTTGTTTTACAAATAAGAGCAACAGTAAAGAAGACACAAAAATACATGTTCTGGATCCAAACTACATCATCCCGAAAAGACACAAAGAACGACCACTCCTTTTTTCCATTAACAGAGTGAAGCAGCGTGTGCACAACAAGGAGGATTGTGGGTAAAAGGGTGACACTTTGACAGCTAAACATCAACGTTGCAGTCCTTTCCGTCAGAGCTGCATTTTGACTTTTGCCTTCTTGTTTAAAACGGGCTGCTGAAATCACAGTGTGGATCGGCGTTTAGTTTTTTTTGGGTTTTATTGCAAATCTTGATCTGATTGTTTGGGATTTTTGCTACTGTGCAGATGTAGCCATTCTAGAAGTCCCGCTTTATAAACTTCTGCTACACTTTTTGCTCCGACGGGGCAACTTTGAAAAAATAAAGTTATGCAGTTTCGAGTAGTAATAATACATTTGGTTTTGCAAACATCTGCAGCACATATGCACGACTTCGGGGACTTCTACAACGGCGCCTGCATCACAGAACTCTGTCTCCTTGGTGTTGGTGCTCAAACTAACTGGGAGAGTGACGGTCCACTCCGACCAATCAAACTGCAGATCTTACCCTGGTGTTTTTAGGATACACACACACACACACATTTACACACAGCAGAGCACTTTAAACCTGCTGGAAATGACCAAAACAGAAGCAGAGATGTTACATGTATCCAACTTTGTCTCTCTATACCGTATATACTGTATGTAGAAGTTCATATATAAACACTTCATTTTTAAGTACACACAAAGTGCCTCACATCTTAATACACTTGATTGAGTGTCATTTAGCAACCATCGTTACCATCGAAAGACGTTTGTTGTCTTATATACAGGAGCGATATCTATACAGTCTCTTTTGAAGACGTGTCCGCTGTGCTCTCCTTTTTTTTTCTCCACAGGAAAACAAAACAAGACGTCAAAGAAAACGTAAATGCTAATCCAAGTTCTCCCAGGATTTCCTTTTTGATCTTTAACTTCCTGTTGAGCCGACAGCTGTCAGTCAGAAAGAGTCTTTGTGCGCCTCCTCGTCCACATAATGTCCTGCAGGACGTCCTCATGACTGAAGACTTATCCCTCCGTCATTCAAATAGGGAATGATTCGTCTACATTTAAAAAATATAAACACAAGTCTCATCTCTAAATATCAGAAATGCATCTTCTCTTGAACGTGTCCATATAGCACAGATCTCTGTCAGCTTATATCAGAACTCGGGGGTGATTCAATACTTTTTATTTCTTTTTTAATTGTTTGATTTTTTATGTGTGAGACGCATCTAGCTGTGAGCCAGTTTCTAGGCAACCATCTGCTACTGTTTCAGTATGAAGGGATGGGAGAGGCTGCTCTACACCTGTTGGTGCATAGGAAGAAATGTGTGAAATATTGTGAATGAATAAAGAAAAAGGCGTCTTTGGTGCATGAGATTTCAAAACTGTAACATGTTCGTCTGTGTAGTTTGAGAGCAGTTAATAGCCCTTAGTGATGCATGGTATACTGTGCAGGAAAATGATGTAACAGTTGTTGTGTTTGTGATCAACAAATCTGCTCTTAGGGTATAAATTGTGTGCAAATGCGAAAAAAATCAGGATGCAAATTTCTCATGGTGTAATTTTGTTTACTCTAATTATAATTGTGTCTCAATATTATGTGTTAATCACAATTTACGAGGCTCTGTAGAGGAGATGAGCCACAGGAACACCCAAAATCCGGACAAATTGGGGAACACTTAAACATCTCAAGCGTGCGTGTGTGTGTGTGTGACCTAGAATTACTATCCTCGTGGGGACCTACATCTGTTTACACAGTCACGTGTGGGGACTCGCCTCCCTTATGGGGACAAAAGGGAGGTCCCCATGAGGGGAATCATTAATTTTAGGGTGAAGACTTGGTTAGGGTTAGGGTTAGGGTTAGGCATGTGTTGGTTATGGTTAAGGTTGGGATAAGTCTCCAGGAAATGCATGTAAGTCAATCTAATGTCCCCTGAAGTGATGTATACATGGTATGTGTGTGTGTGTGTGTGTGTGTGTGTCAGTTTGGTCAGTGTTTGTTTGTTTTGAAAAAATGAGTGGGGATGAAGTATTAGTTGCTACTATCACATTTAAGTCACATTTTGTTGTCAATTAATTTCTTGGTGTCATGCAATCTTGAATGTAATGTAATTCTACCCTCACTCATCCTGTTAAAAAAATAAAATTATACAAAATATGATGTGTTAATCATCCACTGATTCAAATGCTACAAGCAGCACCTTCAAGAGAAACCACACAACAGGTACATATCTTCTGAGGGATTATTGAATAACCCCCGTTTAAACACACATTAACACCAAATCATGACCAAAAAAGTGTTCTGCACAGCAACCCTCACACCTGTTACCTGTCCAAAATGGCGGTGTAATTTCCTCCAGGATGTTAAGACAGAACGCTGCTCTCTGCTTGTGTGAAACCAGTAAAGACAACCTCTTTGCAGATATCTGTGAGTGAACAACCAGAGACACACACACAGCTTTGGTGGCACCCAGTCAGAGGAAACAGAAACATGGAGAGAATTGGAAATGGAAACACACACACAGCTGGTATTCTGTGTGTTCGCAGTCTCCTGGGTGGACTGTAGATGAAGGAAATGGCAAAATGAGACACGAGTCTTGTCCGAAAGCCCAACATAATAACGTTAAATTAAAAAACTCTTCCTATATATATGTTTTGCAATCTCACGGTGTCCCTTCCTGCTCCCCATGCCGTGTTGTTGGATGGTGACAGGATGATCCATGCAATAACACGAGCAGGTGAGAGACAGATTGTGAGTCGAGACAAACGTCCTCTTCTGTCTCCAGCACGGAAAATAAAGTCATGTGAGGTTAAAATGATATCTCTCTCTCTTTCTTTTTTATTGGAAGCACGTCTTTTTCACCTAAATACAGCAACATCCCTGATATTTCATGTGTCCTTTTATCTATGGCTGCTACTTCTGAAGCCAAGGGGTTTTATTGCAAGTGTCAAACATTATCGAGCTAAAGGAACTCCAGGAAAAGCTCATCTATCTGCAGGGAAAAGTGAGAAGTTGCTCTAATAGTCTTAGTTACACATGTAAGTACTTATGCACTATAATTCTTCATTGTGGAAATGTATCATAAGTCTAATTTAATTATACTTGTCTTCATAACTTCCTAATTTGGGTTTTACCACATGTATGTTAGGTTTGTAATTACCATGCGTGATGTATTTCCCCCTCTGTCCTTTGTACCATTCGAACTGTAAAGTCCACTGTCAAATGTCAAAATGTGTGATATTGGGCTATAAATAAACGTTGATTGATTGATTGATTGATTGATAGACTGTAATGTAAATTGCATGTGTGTGTGTGTGTGTGTGTGTGTGTGTGTGTGTGTGTGTGTGTGTGTGTGTGTGTGTGTGTGTGTGTGTGTGTGTGTTGGAGGAGGTCTCAGAGGATGGAGGGGATGGGGGAGCGAGAGCGTCGCAGAGGGCAGGGCGATCCGTACGGCGAGGTCACGGGAGAAAACCTCAGGGTGTTCGATGACAGGCTCGAAATGTTGTTTAAACTCCGGGATTTCTCATAGCCTTCAGATGGAGGAGCGACAGAGAGGAGGTGGAGGACAAATACACACACAGGCAGGCAGGCGAGCAGGCAGCAAGGCAACGATCCAAGTCCAAAGAAGCCGAGCGAAACCGAGACAAGACAGGAGACAGAATGAGACAGAGCATGTTTAAAATGTGGTCATGCCAATAAATGTATTGTATTGTATTGTATTGTATCGTGAGACAGAGCAACAGTCACTGAGAGCATGCACAATCCTGACTGAAACTGTGAGGCTTATTGAAGATGTGTATATGTAATCAGGAAACTCTAAACGTTACTGTTTTCCCTTATACTGTAAGCAGTGAAAAAACGGAAATGTTGACTTTAATTAGATGTATTTTGTACCTTTATTAGGTTAGTTGAAAGCAACTGTGGGGGAAACTTCTGAAGCAATTGGAAAACAGGTCTCAGAGAGACACGAGGAGAGCTGGAGCTTTGATGGCAAACACTGACGGTTTATTTGGAGTTACGGCCGGAGAATTTACAAGACATGTGGTGTGTCACGAGTTGACACAGCGGTTGCCAAAACAATTCTGAAGAACTCTTTCTGCAGCTCGAGGTTTTAACTAGTTCGGAGTTTAATAATCAACATTCTTTATCAGCGAGACTAAACAATTATGGACCCTGAATCTAACTAGAGCTCTCGTCCATAGGAAAGAATGTGCGCCAGGGAACCTTCGTCCCTGAACAGTAAACTACCTCATGGCGGCTTGTGCTCTGTCATAGACTGGCAACAACAATGCGCCCAAGCTGCCCCTCCTTAAGAGAGATAGCAGCAATACCCAAGGCTGTAGACCTATGCCGTGGGAAAAGAGACAGTAAAGAGAGAAAATGATGAACTGGGTCGAAGGTTGAATACCTAAGCAAATTATTCCCTAACAGCAATGATATTAATTTTAACCTTTATTTAAACGTATATTTAATAGCCTTCAAATAACCTTGTACTTAAAACACATCTTTCTTTTCTCTTTTATGTATTTGCATTGCTTTTGATATTGAGGTAATCCAAAGGTAACGAAAGGTAATCAGGTTATTATAATTACCTCTATATTGTGATACTCAAATTAGGTTCAATTTTTTTTGACAAGTAACCAGTGATTCAAATGGTTTACATTTTTAAATGAACCCTCATTTTTCACGTGTGACCCTGGAATGAACTCTGCTTTTAAGAAATACCTGTGTGATTAAAACCCTGTCCAGAATTAAGTGTGGAAACTCGTCAAATAGGAGATAATGTTATTCTTAAACTAGTTGTATTAAACATAAGAATAATTCATTAGCAGTTATTCATCTCATGGCATTATCGTTAGTATATTCTTTCACAAGAAGTTAGTAAATCTTACTTTACTTATACATCCCATTGAGGCATCTAGTTCAAATGTATATAACAATAATGTATATTAAGACTACCAAAATGCACTTATAACATACTGAAGATAATACCTTTGTTTTTTAACACTTTAATGATGGATTCACACTTTCCACCTGCTAAAATTACAGAATGTGAAGCCCCCTTATTGAAATAAACAAGCAGCCAGATCATTAATTAAATTGAAACACTCGTGAGGAACATGGAAACCTCATTAGCATTTTGCACACCGCACCATTCGTCTGTTTCAGAACAAAGGGCAGCTGTGTGTGTGCCAACAGGTAGATAAAGGGACTAAAAAGGACCCCATGTTTTATTCATCATGGAGGCACAGCTGCGGACGCCTACACCCAAAGACACTATTGGAGAGAGGCCTTCCTGTGAGAAAAACCTCCATGATGTGGTTTATCTGCTATAATCTCAATTACAATCTGATAAACAATCAACAAGTAACATCTGAACAGCTTTCCACTTCTCGTAACTGTTAGGGAATAATTTGCTTAGGTATTCAACCTTTGACCCAGTTCATCATTTTCTCCTCTCACTGTCTCTTTCTCGTGGCATAGTTCTACGGCCTTGGGTATTGCTGCTATCTCTCTTAAGGAGGGGCAGCTTGGGCGCATTGTTGATGCCAGTCTATGACGGAGCACAAGCCGCCATGAGGTAGTTTACTGTTCAGGGACGTAGGTTCCCTGGCGCACATTCTTTCCTATGGACGAGAGCTCTAGTTAGATTCAGGGTCCATAATTATTTAGTCTCGCTGATAAAGAATGTTGATTATTACACTCCGAACTAGTTAAAACCTCGAGCTGCAGAAAGAGTTCTTCAGAATTGGTTTGGCAACCGCTGTGTCAACTCGTGACACACCACCTGTCTTGTGAATTCTCCGGCCGTAACTCCAAATAAACCGTCAGTGTTTGCCATCAAAGCTCCAGCTCTCCTCGTGCCTCTCTCTGTATTTAATACGTTGTTGTTTTGTCACTTTCGCTAATACAGAATTTGTGATTGTGTATTTTTATGATACACAAATCTGAAACATGAACTGCTCTGACTGTTCTGATTAGATGTATTTAAATAATATTACGCACATAATGTAAAATGAAAAATGAAAATCCACATCTCATCTATTATAACATTTAGCTCCAATTAAATGCAATCATGTTTAAAAACCTGTTGTGTCTCGTCAAATGTGTTAGTTATGTTTTTGTATTTTGTCTGTCATTTCCTGTTTTATTTTGTATTTACCTCTTGTCTTTCATTTCAGGCCCTAGTTTCTTCCTCCACGTGTGTGTTTTTCCCGCCATCATCAGTGTCTGCCCCGCCCCTGATTGTTTCCACCTGTCCCCACTCACCTCATGTTTAAATAGTCCTGTCTCTCCCCTGTCCTGTGTCAGTTTGTCTGGTTTGTTTCCCCGAATGGTCGTGCCGAGCCTCGGCTCAGAAAGGACTGCTTTCTCTCATGTCAGGTTTTGTTGATTTTTGTAGGCTTAAGTTTTTTCTTAAGTTCTCCTTTTGTTATTCCTCCTTGTGAGCGCTTTTTGTTTATTCCAGCACCTACTCTGTTAAGAGGGATTTCCTGACCATTGGAATGTAATAAATAAATGTTATTACATTCAGGACTTTGTCTCTGGGTCGTGCATTTGGGTTCATCAGTTTCTGTCGAGGTCCTGACAAAACCTTTGATTCCTGCATGCAGTTACCTGTCATTCCACTTCTCGTAACAACATATTTTATTATATTTGTATGAGTATTTTTGTCATATTATACTGTACGTTGTTTTTTGGTATATCTACAGTTCGTGTAAATATTGCTCTACATGTTAGTGTTATAATAGTTGTTATATTTTTGGTTGTTTTTCTTACAATTTATCATCTTTGACTGTTTTTATGTATGCACCACATACACCAAGGGAAATTCCTCGTATGTACGCTGCGCCTCCCCTGAAGCTTTCTGGTTCTCACTTTGAAAACCGCTGCACTAGATCATTGGTATTCTTACAAAATGGGAGTAAAATCTTCCCTTTAAAGGACGGCGCTCTAATTGGAGGAAAGCATGGATTTAATTTTGGTCCCGAGAGAACAGTAGCACTCTGAGAATTTAGAATAAAGCTCGGACAGCCGGACGTTAACTTCTGCTAAAAGGCTATTAGATCCAACGCTTCCACATTACACAGCGCAGATTAACACAACAATAATGCCTCGAGAAGCTCGAGATAAAATGGAGGAATTCATCTTACATGCTTTAGTCTTCTTAATATCATTTTAGTGTGGTGACATATTATAGAGGCGGTTACCAAACATTGCCTTTTAGTGACCACACAGTGTCCACTGCATGAGTGTCTCAGTTTATACTTCATGACCTTTTCTGCTTTTGAAAGTTGCATGACTCAACAACAGGGCTTCCCTTTCTTAGTCTGACCTTTCCATCTGTGCGTCTATGTGCAATATACCCTGTTTTGCAATTAACTTTTGCTAAATGCAAAACAGTACCTTCAATCTCAACACCTTTATATGTTCACCTAGCTTTTACATGTTGATCAACCATGGTTTTAATAACATGTGCTTATCTCTATTAAAATATTTACCTACTGTACAGTTCAATGCAATCACATTAAAAGACCTTTGATTCCTCCATGCAGTTACCTGTCTTCCTCATCCCTCCGTCTGCAGCGTAGTCACTGGCAGCGAGCAGGAAGCAGGTTCCCCCCCCGCTGAGGTCCTGCTCTCGGGTGCTGGACCTCCTCATCGGGACCCTCTCCTCCGGGGACAGAGTGAGGTCACTGCCCCCCCCACTGCAGTCTGCTGACAGAACTGACACATACAATCTATATTTTAATTCCCTGACTCAAATACTTGTTCTTTTAAAACCCAACAGAGATGGCAAAAGTACACACATCCTTTACTCAAGTAGAAGTACAGATACTCGTGTTTAAAAATACTCTGGTGAAAGTAGAAGTACTGACTAAACTTCTTTACTCAAGTGAAAGTAAAGAGGGCTTTGAAATGTACTTCAGTAAAAAGTACCCATAACTAGCAGCTGTTCTAAAGAGTACCTGACCTCCCTTTATATTAATAGAACAATAATGTCATTGTTAGCTAATGAATGTTTCCATGCTGAACAACGGCAACATGACAACGTTTTCATTGGTCCCTCTTCTTTAGAGAAGACCAGGAAATGATGGATACACGGATCGTGTTCAAATCAATAGGCACGCAATGACTCTAAATAATAATGATCACGCCACCAAACACACATTCAAACTAAAGGAACCAGCCTGTTTGGGAAATGTAAGAAGTAGAAAGTACAGGTATTTGTGTTCAAAATGTAAGAAGTAGAAAGTACAGGTATTTGTGTTCAACATGTAAGAAGTAGAAAGTACAGGTATTTGTGTTCAACATGTAAGAAGTCAAAAGTCATCAGGAAAATAATTAGTGGAGTAAAGTAGTGATACCAGAAAAATGTATTTAAGTACAGTAACGAAGTATTTGTACTCCACTACTTCCCACCTCTGAAACTCAATGTCAGGTGGAGTTACTCCAGTATGAATGGTGCCATTTCAGTGATAATATCAATTATTTGGGCCACATGCCAATCAATTATTTGGGTCTACATGCAAATGACTTGCATGTGGAATAAGACCAAGTTCTGACCACTTGTTGATTAGAAACACATTAAAAAAAATATTCCTCTGAGGATGGAGTTGCTCTGTTCCTGCATTTGAGATCAATTCCACTTGTATATTGACTTTCTTTAATACTTTATTAAATATAACAAAAGACAAACTTTGTCCATTAATCATTTATCAGTTTCTCTTAAGAATTTCCTCTACAAATTTCACCTGAGATATAAAACAACACTTATTTGTAATAACCTAAACGTCTCAGTCTTACCTGAGCGGTTGCGTTCGAGTCCCCTTCCTCCTTTGGTGTTGCACAGGTCACTTTGAGTGCTGTTGCAGGTGGTGTTGAGCTCAGCTTTGCAGTAAATGGGCGACCCCCCCTGCACCGCCTGAGGAATGTGCTTCTTCCTCTTCTTGGGAAGCTTCTGCTTGGCCATGGCCAGCGAGTAGTACATCCCAAAGTTATTCACGATAACAGGAACGGGCATGGCTATCGTCAGAACGCCCGCCAAGGCACACAACGCACCAACAACCATGCCTGACCAGGTCTCTGGATACATGTCTCCATAACCCAGTGTTGTCATGGTCACCACGGCCCACCAAAAGCCAATTGGGATGTTTTTGAACTTTGTGTGGTTGCTACCCGTTGGGTCGTTGGGATCTGCGCCAATTCGCTCGGCGTAGTAGATCATGGTGGCGAAAATAAGTACTCCCAACGCCAGGAAAATGATGAGCAGCAGGAATTCGTTGGTGCTCGCTCGTAAAGTGTGTCCGAGCACTCTTAAACCCACGAAGTGACGCGTTAGCTTGAAGATACGAAGGATTCGAACGAAGCGAACCACTCTGAGGAAACCTAACACATCTTTGGCAGCTTTGGAAGAAAGGCCGCTCAACCCAACCTCTAAGTAGAAAGGCAGGATGGCCACAAAGTCGATGATGTTGAGGACGCTTTTAATAAACTCCAGCTTCACCGGACAGAACGTGACGCGGACGAGGAACTCAATGGTGAACCAGAAGACGCAAACGCCCTCCACATAGGTGAGAGCTGGGTCAGTTTCTATCTCGTACTGCGGGCCTGAGTCCGGAGCGCTGCTGTTCCTCGTTGGATCTGTCTTGTTGATGATGGTGTTAAACGCTTCGTGAGTCTCCAAGCAGAAGGTGGTGATGGAGACCAGGATGAAGAACAACGAGGCAAAGGCTATAAACTACAAGAGGGGAGGAGAAGAGCAGAGAAAAACATTGTGTTACTGTTAGAAAAATCGTACTCGTCACCAGCTTCAATCTCAGGATCCATGTATTTCTGATCCTCTCCAGAATGGAAGGAGTCATCACATACAGAGCATCAACTAGTTCCTGAACAGTGTCCTTCACATGCTGATATCCAAGAGAGGGAGTTACACAGTCACAAGATGGAGGAATACCAAGTTTTTTCTCGAAATGTTGTTTTTTTTCTTAAATTCCCAAAATGCTGACTTTCACTCAAAATTCTGACTTTCTCTCAAAATTCTGACTTTCTCAAAATTCTGACTTTCACTCAAAATTCTGACTTTCTCAAAATCCTGACTTTCTCTAAAAATTCTGACTTTTTCTCAAAATTCTGACTTTTTCTCAAATTCCCAAAATGCTGACTTTCACTCAAAATTCTGACTTTCTCTCAAAATTCTGACTTTCTCAAAATTCTGACTTTCACTCAAAATTCTGACTTTCTCAAAATGCTGACTTTCACTCAAAATTCTGACTTTCTCTCAAAATTCTGACTTTTTCTCAAATTCCCAAAATTCTGACTTTCACTCAAAATTCTGACTTTCTCTCAAAATCCTGACTTTCTCTAAAAATTCTGACTTTCTCTCAAAATTCTGACTTTTTCTCAAAATCCTGACTTTCTCTAAAAATGACTTTTTCTCAAAATTCTGACTTTTTCTCAAATTCCCAAAATGCTGACTTTCACTCAAAATTCTGGCTTTCTCTCAAAATTCTGACTTTCTCAAAATTCTGACTTTCTCAAAATTCTGACTTTTTCTCAAATTCCCAAAATGCTGACTTTCACTCAAAATTCTGACTTTCTCAAAATTCTGACTTTCTCAAAATTCTGACTTTTTCAAAATTCTGACTTTTTCTCAAATTCCCAAAATGCTGACTTTCACTCAAAATTCTGACTTTCTCTCAAAATTCTGACTTTCTCTCAAAATTCTGAGTTTCTCAAAATTCTGACTTTCTCAAAATTCTGACTTTTTCTCAAATTCCCAAAATGCTGACTTTCACTCAAAATTCTGACTTTCTCTCAAAATTCTGACTTTCTCTCAAAATTCTGACTTTCTCGAAATTCTGACTTTCTCAAAATTCTGACTTTCTCAAAATTCTGACTTTTTCTCAAATTCCCAAAATGCTGACTTTCACTCAAAATTCTGACTTTCTCTCAAAATTCTGACTTTCTCTCAAAATTCTGACTTTCTCAAAATTCTGACTTTCTTGAAATTCTGACTTTCTCAAAATTCTGACTTTCTCAAAATTCTGACTTTTTCTCAAATTCCCAAAATGCTGACTTTCACTCAAAATTCTGACTTTCTCAAAATTCTGACTTTTTCTCAAATTCCCAAAATGCTGACTTTCACTCAAAATTATGGCTTTCTCTCAAAATGCTGGCTTTTTCTCAAAATCTCAAAATTCGGACTTTTTCCGAATACTTAAAAATGTTAATAATCACTCGTCCCCGGCTTGAGCTTCAATCTCAGGATCCATGTATTTCTGATCCTCTCAAGAATGGAAGTAGTCATCACATACAGAGCATCAACTAGTTCCTGAACAGTGTCCTTCACATGCTGATATCCAAGAGAGGGAGTTACACAGTCACAAGATGGAGGAATAGAAAGCAGTATTCAATGTTTAGTTCAGATTAGCTCCACGTCAGAAATGAGCATGCTTGTCATATGTCTATCTCCATAGAGGCTGAATCATCATGTTAATCACATAGCTATCATATGCCTCAAACAGTCCTGATGCTCTTCTAGGTAATCAGACATCCTGTCATGTTCACAGCTACAGTTGGGATACCTTTGTTATCATGTGGACTCTGATGTTGGAAGAGTACATTCAGTATTCTCCCAACAGTTACTATCAATCCATCACAGACATGTTGAATGACGCTCTACTGTATGTACGGCTGTCGTGTCAAATTTTCATATAATTATTTAAATAATATATATAGATTATGTCTCATAACTCTGATTGCCTTTCAGTCGTTTATTTAGTATTTTTAATGTGTTTAAAAGAGACATATGTTAAGGATTAACATTTCAGGAATGGCAAAAGGTGGATTTGCAAATGGTTAAGGACTTATGGTTTAATGGTGGGGATGTTTAGATAATGCCTAAAATAATTTAAGGGTGGGACCAGTTGACTATTTTCTCTTTACTATATAGTGTGACTGTAAGCTGTGTTCTGTGTGCAAAGCCATTTTATCCTCTGAGGATGAAGTAGCTCTGTTCCTGCATTTGAGATCGATTTCAATTGTATATTGACTTTCTTTATTAATGTATTAAATATAACAAAAGACAAACTTTGTCCATGGATCATTTATCAGTTTCTCTTAAGAATGTCCTCCACACGGTGACTGGGAATCCATGCCCCGAGATAAATACATTAATTTACTCCAGAGAAAGACATTGAACCCAGAGACAAGTTAAATGAACTTGCATCAATTGGAAATGACTCCAGAGAGAGAAGCAATCTATTAGCAAGAGCAACAAACAAACACACACTTCCTCTTTGCTCCTGGAGGGAATGTAGGAGTGCACACGCAGACAGATTTAATTTAATACTGATGCTATGTTGGGCAGTTGGGAAGGAAAGTGGATTAACTAACCAGTCAGTATGGGATCGAGAAATGGGTTTGTCTTTGTGCAAATCGTTTTTTTGTTCTCCTATAGCACATTGAGGCCCAGGCTCCACGGGAACGCATACGGCAAAACGCATCGGAGTAACGCAAACGCCAAAAAGCTTCCGTCCACACGCAATATACACCGGATTATGTCTTGCTACACGAGACGGCTCCGTTTACATCCAACCGCTGTAAAAGCTGCAGTACATATGCCGAGCCTGTACGTGGCGCTGTAACTTCCTCCACAAAAGCAGCAACTTCCTCCACAAAAGCAGCGAAGAAGAATGGTTGTCATGGCTGCACTTCTGTTTATTCTCCTTGGTGGGGGCCGAGGGATCCGGGCAGAGTTTTTCGCCGGTCAACGTGTGTTAAAGTTTAAATCTTCCGGACAAAATGATAAAAGTGCCGGTCAAAGGTCTTCTTTGTTATTTATTGAGCTTTAAAACAAATGAATAACGACGATATAATGATATATAATAATAAAATACACAGAGCCTGTCTCTTTTTCCTCTCTTCTGACAGCATCAGTGTCTGTCTCATGCAGCAGCTGATCCTGTAATGATGACCCGACAGTAAAAATAAACATATTTATAACTAGTTTAGGTAGTTTGAGAGGTAATTAAAATAGCTAAGGGTGATGATCTGACTTGAAGTGTGTGTTTTGCTCCCGCTGCTTCACAGCCGGAGGAGCTGCGTGTCTCCGTCCTGTCAGATTAGACTTCACTCGCGTTTATGTCCATATCGAGATAAAGATAAATAATCTGAATTCAGTGTGCAGTGTACTTTTGCGGGGTGAGCAGCAGAGGCGGGGCTATTGCGTCATCATTATCAGAAACGGATGACCGTATAGGCTACCACACGGCCCCGTTGGACCCCCCAGAGCGCTCCGTTCCCAGATCTATCCACCTTTGGACCCGTTGTCGTTTGCAGGGTCCGTTTCTACCGTTCCGTTACGGCGTCGTGTGGCAAAAAGGGCTATACGCAAGAGAAATATGCGGATACAACCCGTTTTCGTTCCCGTGGAGCCTAGGCATAAGTCATGTCACTTTTCCATAGTTGCATTGTATTACATTTCAGGCTGTTGTCCTGGATTCAAGTTGCAGCAATAACAATAAAAACATGAATCACTACAATAAATGGATGTCTTCTTTATTCATGGTTTACTTCTAAGGAATTCATTATTTTACAGAATTGTGTCAGGCATGGTGGTCCATTGGCTGCATGTCTTCGCCCATCTTTCCCCCTTTCCTGTCTTTCTGTAGCTTAACCAAAAAAGCCATCTTAAAATGTGTCAAGTCTCGTTAAGAAAAACATGTGAGTTATAACAACTGATAATACAGCAGAATGTATCCGTACCACGTAAAGCATCGCCTGATTTAAATAGAAATTGTGCTTCAAAACAACTTTTTCTTAACCCTTAGATGCACGAGTGACTGGACCCTACACTCTTCCATAAGTGGGTCTAAAAGGACCTGTATTAGAATAATATGTGTTTTTATGCAATTTTTGGTTAAGAAAAATCTCTTGTATAATATTTAGTATTATATTTTGGTTCACACTAGAAATATTTTATATTTAATTTTTCACTATTTATAATTTTAGAAATGTCTTTTTTCCCATAGGTTTCCATAGAAAATGCATGCGGGTCAGTTTTGACCCACTTATGGAAGCTTGGGGTACTAATACAAAAACTACAATTTCTTAAAATGTAAATTAAAAATGTGAATGGCATGATATCCAAAACATGTTTTTTGAGGAATAGCTGGAATATGAAATGATACATTTTATTAATTACAAAGATACTTCAAGAAAACCACCTCACCGGGTCCAAAAAGACCCACTTATGGAAGCTTGGGGTACTAATACAAAAACTACAATTTCTTAAAATGTATAACATTTAAATTGAAAATTCAAATGGCATGATATCCAAAACATGTTTTTTGAGGAATAGCTGGAATATGAAATGATAAAAAAATGTCATTACAAAGATACTTCAAGAAAACCACCTCACCGGGTCCAAAAAGACCCACTTATGCATCTAAGGGTTGTTGAAATAGAATTGAAGTAACTTTATTTGGCAAAATGACAGCCCTGCAGCTCAGTCTGTAAATAATTCAAGGATTCAAGGCTTTTATTGTCCTTTGTTCATAGCTACACGACAAAAAGTAAACAAACACTGAAATAATACGAAAAAAATTCAAAGTTGGAGAGGAACCAAAGACGCGGCAGCCATCTTTATTTAATGAGTTACATAGAGATTTCGTTCTTGTTTTGGTGTTCCTCTGCACACCACCTGTCAGACGCAGAGCTCACATCCAGCTTTCCTGC